TGCCCAATATGTGCAGATGCGGACGTCAAGTCCTTCGGGAAAACGGTTAACCTGACACTTATCAATATGCCGTTACTTGTACCTTTAAATGTGGCCTCCGAGGTTTCAATTTAAATGTTAATGTCAGGGACGGGTGTAGGCTCCGATTGTGGCCGCATAAATATTGCCGTAATTTGATAGCGGAAAATGTGGAGCATGATTTTGCATCCTTCCGCAGGTAGGAGCATAACAAGATGATGGCACTAATTGTAAAGCTCTAGTATGTAGGCTACACTATTGTGTACAATGCACCTGATCCATGCTGGTTGTCTGCAGGGTAAAGGATTCGGAGCTCATACAGACAGTTCAAGTATTTCAGTAACAAGAAGGGTTCTGTATAGAAATCATGGCGATGCATCGTTGTATTCTCAACATCGTCTTCTTGAAAATTCTTTCTCATGATGTTTCAGTACTTATAACAGAAGATAAGAGTAAATCAGCATTTTCAGGTATCTTGGGGTAGACGAGATATCGACGGGTAGTAGGCAAAACTCTGTGTGCGTAATGTTAAGCATGATACGAAGTTATGACTTTCGCCGTTTTGGAAGTTACCAGCCATGGCTGTGCAGGCTGTAATCTTACAACTGCCATTGCAAATATCGATGCTGGTGTTTGCTCTAGGTCTAGCCGATATCGCTCTAGAAATTGATAATTTAGGCGGCAAAGTTATTGGGAGTTTTCGATTGCACGCATATCGGTCAATTCTAGAATTAGTAATTGTTGATGCCCGGTTCGATTACACAAAAAGTGACAAATTCCGTCGTTGGAATTGATTTTATCCTATTCCGTCAAATCCATCAATTCTGATATATGAAGAGAGGGCGGAATTTCTCTGATTCTGGCACCAGAATTGCACACTCGGTGTGTTACCGGTCAGGTCATGCATGACCCAATTCAAGGAAGAGCCTCCCTCATGGCCGGGGTGCGCGAAAGCAGGAACAAGTGCATGTACCGGTAGTTGCTACTTCTGTCGTCCCGAAAAGCTAATTGCCGCTGTTGAGTTTCCGCTGGGAGCTGATTATTAGACCAGATCATTTTTGGTGGTCCTTTCGTACAGGCGTTCAGCTTTATCGAAGCCCAACATGGAGCCTTCGCCGGGATGGATGGGTACGCGAAGCTGGGTCGACTCGCACGCGAGGGTGTACGTGATATCTTTTTATGACCAATTTTGTTTGTTCGTTTACATGGCCGGAATTCGTACATTTTGGTCATTCGAGAATTACAAAACCCAGTTCGAGAATTGTGTAAACATGTAATCGAAAGCGCCCATTATTTATTATTGTTTGTGTCAGCAAGAGTACATGTACTTGTAGTACAATTTGCTCCCAAAATAACTTCGGGACAGTCTGTTCATGGTTTTCATTTGTATTGGGCTCGTTCTCTGCACTTGCGATAATTTAGCGGCAATTCTAATGTTGTAGCGTTGTTCTCTTGTAATTTAGTGGAGCCTGTATTGCGTAACTGAGTTTTAAGTTTCGTTACATTGTCGACAGATCTTCTGTGTACCGGTTTTGTGGCACAATATTTATATCCATTTGTCGGCTCCATTCTTGTGCAATCATGCATATGTAGGTTGGTTCTCTTCATGTTATTGTGACCTATTTCATAGATGTTGGTTGCCTTGTTGCTTTCTCTCCCTCTCCTCTCACCCAAGCCATACTGCATAAGCGAAGCTGTTGAGGCAGCATACTGCTGCTACACTGCAACGCGGGAATGCGTATAAACAATATTTATAAATTCGGAACGACGCTTCACGCAGCTTCATTATAGCATCTTGTATTGTGGCAACACTGGCCAAGACTCAGATGCACTGCTTCTTCACACAGCTGAACAATTCTTCTTTCTTCTCCACGTTTCGGTCACTCTGACCATCTTCAGGATGAAGCAGACACGGAAGCAAGGCAGACTTTAAAACAACAAGCTGGCTAGGTGCGTGCGGAATACAGCGGGGAAAAAAAAAAAAAAAAACAACAACTCCCAAGCGAAAAATGACACATGCCACATGATCACAATAGGGGTGCAAGTCCTGCGTGTGAGAGACTAGGGCGGTGACAATTATGTACAACCTGTGGAATACAGCAGGGGGAGGGGGAGGGGGGGGGGGACACTCTCAGGCGAGAGAAAAAAACCCGGCAACAGCCACATGACTACAGTAGTGTGGACAGTGCTAACATTTTTTGTTTTGTTTTCCCCGCTGTATTCCGCACGCACCTAGCCAGCTTGTTTTAAAGTCTGCCTTCCTGCCGTGTCTGCTTCATCCTGAAGATGGTCAGAGTGACCGAAACGTTGAGAAGAAAGAAGAATTGTTCAGCTGTGTGAAGAAGCAGTGCATCTGAGTCTTGGCCAGTGTTGCCACAATACAAGTTGCAACAATTTACTAATAATAATAATAATAATAATATTACCATTCAGATGGAGAGCCAAGGTTTAATTTATACAAAAGAGAAAGTTAGTAGTTGGAACTACAAGTTACGCTATACTGTCCACTAACACCACCAGTTACTAACCTTCCCCTCCTTCTGTTATTTCTATAACTTAGAACCTTCCAAGTGGGAAGGCTGTTGGAGTGCGCATCCAAGATGTTCTAGAGCTTTTAGCCAGTTAGTTGTAGAACGTCAGTACTGTCGGTCAGTGTCGCGCAATGTTATCGCATGAGCTGATTGTTTAGTAACTGGTGGAGTTAGTGGACAGTATAGCGTAACTTGTAGTTCCTTGGTCATTCTCTTTTGTATAAATAATACTATTTTTTGAACTAGCTCTGCGTTTCGGTACTGAGCACTCTGTTAGACAGCGTGGAACCACTCAGGATTAGAGGCATAGCTGATGTTCTCTCAATCTCATGATGGAAGGAGCTACGGGGGAGATGGGTAGATTATTCGCAAGGAGAGGTTGACATGTTGAACGAGTATGACGGTTACGAGTACGTAGACTAATAAAAAATGAAATGTTCAAAGGTAACTCAAACTATGAGCTGATTGTGTTGTAACTGCTGGAGTGAGTGCACATTATAGCGTGACTTGTAGTTCCTTGGTCAATTTCTTTCTTAGATAAATATGGTGGTAAAGACACACCTGGCAATATGGCGGTAAACACACGCCTGCCCACACACGCTCTCTAGGGTGCAAAGTTCCGGCACAGAGCTCTCCTTCTCACCACCACCACCATCAGTTCGCGCCTGGCGCCTGGTCGATGCATGGCTGGCGGTATCCGGCATAGCAGGCTGGTACATCAAGTAGCGCATGGCACATAGATGATGACACAGCAACGACATAGCTCTGTGCCAGAACTTTGCAGCCTAGAGAGCGTGTGTGGGCAGGCGTGTGTTTACCGCCATATTGCCAGGTGTGTCTTTACCACCATATTTATCTACCATAAGTACAGCTGCAGTGGTGTCTTCATTTTCATTCTCCAGAATTTCTTTCTTCTACAAACTAATTTTGGCAATGAAATATGTTTTTCAAAATATTTCAACTAATGAATATAAGAAGTAATGTAATGTTTTCTCTTTTCTATGTTGATCTCTGGCATGCATGGACACCTTGGTCAGGGGATACTCTATTTTTGTGTACTGAGTATGGCCATGCGCTACTTGAAAGTACGAAAACGCACACTTTTCCCGACTTTGAGGCTCCATAACAACAACGAATTGAATAATGATCTCCCTTGCCAAAGCATAATGTGAAGATTCTGCGAGCATAATGCGAGCATCCATGAAGTCATAATTCCATGATATCGCGAGCATAATCCACCGGAGCTTAGTCCCGTGCAAACCATGCAAGAAAATACTGTGTTCATCCAGTGTTTCCTTGGCAGTGTGCGGTGCTGTCACTGTCAAACCGAGAAAAGACCTGCGGATCACCTGCCGCAATGAATCCTAAATGAACTCTGTTTTGACTCACTTTGACTCATTGATTCTATTTTTTATTCCTGCGTCTTTGCAAGTCCCGTTGGCGCTTTTTCAGGAACTTCTGGTATGATGCATTAAATTTTTGGTGTGATTGTGTGCGATTTGTGTTTCTTGTAGGCATTATTTTCATTTCTATTTTGTCATTGTGTAGCTGTTTCTGTTGTTGGGGATTACTGTTTCGTTTTTGTATTCTTTTATTTTTTAAATCTACTTCAAAGTCCTTACAAATAGTCTACATGGAGATAATAATTTTAATATAGCTATGAATAGGATGAAGACCGCAGACATCACGCAACCAACGTAGTTGCGTGATGTCTGCGGCCGTCATCCTATTCATAGCTATATCAAATTTCTTAGTTGATTATTGTTCTGGGCGTGCCAGAGTCCCGGCGTACTGTTCGAAAACTACTCTCTGCCTTCCAAGTCCGCTTTTCAACACGCGGGTGAAGGGTAGGAAATGACTACATGTACTGTGCGAGTAGAAACATTGAGAGGTGTTGCAACTTACAACACATTCTTCACCTGCAAGAGTGCCAGAATATCTGACGATCGTTACCTTCTATAGCTTATAGTGACATGCTCTTCCCTTCGCAATGTTCTACCTCCATCATTTGTGAATGACTTTATAGACTGTCCATGGTGGAAAGGATCTCAAAACATTTTTCACATGCAATAGAGCGAGGCAGCTAATGGGGTCATTTTCGGCACTTGTGCCAGGGGTTGTGAGACGTATCCACTCACCCCACCGTTAGGCGCTGCATCTGCCGCTAGGGTTTATCGGGTGTTACTTTTTTTTTTACTTTTTACTTTTAATGGCGAGGCTAGCTGACGGTCATTACCTTCTCTTGAGATACTACATGTTAGGCTATTGCCTTCAGTATTGTTTGCCTCAATCATTAGTAAATGTCGTTTTAGGCTGTCCGTTATGGAAAGGATTTAAAAGTTCTCAAATGTGCCCTTTTTCTGCAGGTTTCAGCAGAAGTTTCGTGAGAACTAAAAACAATTATCAACACAGGATCGGTTGGGTAAGGATACCTGTCTTGGTGACCCTAGGCTTGGCAGATTTATTAATTTCACATATGATACATGAGAACGAGATCATTAATTACAACACAAATACAAAACAAAATAATCCACCTCAGAATACGATTTTGGACTACCAAATTCTATCACATGTGTGGCTACGATCAGACTTGTGTGAATAGCATCGTAGGCTTTTTTTGGACTTTTTCAAACTGGTGGCAATGCATTCTAACTTTCTGATAGACACACACAGACAGTCTCTGTCTCTCTCTCTCTCTCTCACACACACACACACACGCACGCAAACACTTTCAAACACACACAAACACTCTCAAACACACACACACACTCACTCCCTCACTTTTATGCACTCTCTCTCTCTCTCGCTCTCTCTCTCGCTCTCGCTCTCTCGCTCTCGCTCTCTCGCTCTCTCTCTCTTGCTCGCTCTCTCTCTCGCTCTCTCTCTCTCGCTCTCTCTCTCTCGCTCTCTCTCTCTCGCTCTTGTTCGTAGAAATTGAAAGCACGAAAAGGCTAAATGCATTTTTACACATAGTAAAACACTTTCAAACGACATTTTGGCTGTTCATTTTATTGTATGAATAGTACGCTCGTGTCTACGAAGACTTGATGCACACTGGAAAACCTTTGCACACTCTTCGCACCTATACGGACGTTCTCCTGTATGAATACGTTCATGGTCACGTAGATGGCTTGACCGCGTGAACGACCTTACACATGCCTTGCACTTAAAAGGTCTTTCTCCAGAATGGATACGTTCATGTTTGCGTAAATTTGACGAATCCGTGAACGATGTGCCACATGTCTTACACTTGTGCGGCCGCTCTCCGGTATGAGTACGTTTATGAGAACTTAGAATGCCTGACTGAGTGAAAGACACCCCGCATACATCACACTTAAATGGACGATCTCCAGTGTGAATACGTTCATGCTCGCGGTTATGAGAAACGTTCCTAAACTCCTTCTTGCAAAACTGACATCTTTGTGATGCCTTACACTTAGAACGCCTGGATGGATCCTGATTCTGAGCCCTAACCTTAGAAGAGTCTGATATTTGTTGGATAGGACGTCTGTGTTCAACTGGCATGTCACACGAATCAGGTTGTACCGATGCTTGACGTGTCCTTCCGGCAGAAACTCCAGTGTTTGACGCTGTGGCTGGAGTTAAGACGTCCACTTCAATCTGAAGAGATGGTTTCACTGGCCATGCGCGTGTATCATAGGCGCTGAACGCAGAAGTCCAGTTCTCGACGTCTTCCATTGCTGTTGGTGCACTAGAAGTAACTTCATCCCTTTCGCTTTTGCGTTCGGTCCCATGTGTCGTTTTGAAAGCTGGTTGACGATTAGAAATACAGGCCGAAAGAATTGTGTTCCTCGCCCGTTTTAGCAATGGCGGAGGAGAAACAGGAAACGTGATACTGGTATATTCAGGGGGTATACTACTCGTGTCTTCTCCGTTTTCCAGTGAAGCGGATCTCATACACGACGCTTTCGCCATGTTTGCTTCGCCAATTTTTGCCTCAGAAAATGGTGGAACAGACGATTGGCCATGCCGTCTAGAACTTCGGTCGAGCATATTCCTCTTTGACTTTATCAATGGCGGCGTTGGTGGTAATTCATTAGAATCCACACTGCAGCCAGGATTCGACTCCTCAAAGTCTTCCATTTTCACAGTCAGAACCGAAGCAACTCTGGAAGGGAAATTGCATAACCGAGCCAATATATCGTGCTCTAGTGTGAAAAGCCATTATTAGTTGATGACGGATTTGCCATAATTCTGGCAGCCCGCATTTTACGTATATTCTCCACTTCAAGTATGTACATGGCAACTTGATGTCACCATCTCAAGGTGTCATGGACGTTTGCATTAATTGCCGCAAAAAAGGTGTTAGTTGCCAAAGAAGAATCTTTTCGTTTTAAGTGATAAGGATCACTGCTTCTGTTCTTTGTCAGTGTCAACATTACAAGTTATTCTTCGGCACTGAACTGCCATTCTGACACAAGTAAAGTATCTATTACTCACCAAATATTTACTTTTCAGAATGCAAAAGGTTTATTGCTGACAAGAAGTAGCGGAGGAGTGAGATTTCCTGCACGGTTATGAGTTTGGATGTACATTGTATTTCAGCATGGTGGAGTGGAAAAATTCAAAAAACAATTTTAAGGAACAGGCCAAAAGGAGGATGGGGTCGTCGGTGCTAAAAGAGGTGTTCTACTATATGCCAATGAATAGTTCTTACTAAAGGAGGGCGTGGCTGTCTATTTTGTCTCCCCTTGAAATATGAATATTTTCAAGACGATCATTTGTTCCGTCAGGGGATGATCGCCCTTATCTCTCTGGGATGCTGGCGTGGCTAAGCGGTCCTGCCTCGGGAACTCTTCTATGATCTTCTATGATCAGGCAATTACGGCTTGAAGGAGTTATATTCGTACACACCCACCGTGGCAAGTCTCGTTTGCAGACCCATTAATCATGTGATGTTTTGACCATTTGTTAGCTTATGCTAATTTCAAAGTTCCTTTTCAAACTACTTTTCAAGGGCTTTGCACAGTCGATCTACACACCAAGGAAACGTGCCTGCATATTTTGAGCGAAATTGGAGAGATATTATCTACAAGTTGTAGTCTTCTCAGACATGCTCAGTCAGCAAAGCCTTCGCTCATATCTTCTTTCTATATAAAGTAAAACCTTCTGAGTTCAAAGGCTATACCAGAATAATACTATTAACTTCTGACTTAATACATGAGAACAAGACCATGGAATAGACCAGAAATGCAGAACTACATAATCCACATCAGCTTGCGATTCTGGACTATCATAGTCTCGATTGATGATTTCATTTTGTTTAATGTGGTGCGAATCTATATTATCTTTCTAACAGACAGACAGACACACACACACACCCACTGCACTCTCTCTCTGTATTATATTTGTACAATTCATGAGCACGAAGAGAAGAAAGTCATTTTCACAGATCGTAAAACACTTTCTAACGAAGTTTAGGCTGTTCATTTTATGTTATGACTACACTAGTGTCTACCAAGACTTGATGATGTTCTGAAGTATTTTCGGAACTCTCTGCACCTATAAGGACGTTCTCCTGTATGTGTACGCTCATGGCTGTGTGGATGACCTCACACATGTCTTGCATGTAAAAAGGTCTTTAAAGCAGAATGGATACATTCATGTCTGCGTAAACTGAATGATTGTGTGAACGATGTGCCACATTTCTTACACTTGTGCGGTTTCTCTCCAGTGTGAATACGTTTATGAACACATAGAGTGCCTGACTTAGAGAAAGACATCCCGCATACGTCACACTTGAATGGTCGATCTCCAGTATGGGTACGTTTATGACCACAGAGAATGTCTGACCGAGTGAAAGACTTCCCGCATACATCACACTTGAATGGTCGAACTCCACTATGCGTACGTTTATGAACACAGAGAACGTCCGACCGAGTGAAAGACTTCCCGCATACATCACACTTGAATGGTGGATCTTCAGTATGAATATGTTCAAGCTGGCGGAGGCGAGAAACTTGTTTGATCTTTTAGGCAAAACTGACACCTCTGTGATGTCTTACACTTAGAACGCTTGTAAAGATCCTGATTCTGAGCCATAACCTTAGAAGAGACAGAGATTTGTAAGATATGACGCCTGCTTTCAACCGGCATGGCACGCCCATCAGGTTCCTTCCATGTTTCACGTGTCCTTCCAGCAGAAACTCCAGTATATGACGCTGTGGCAGGAGTTAAAACGTCCATTCCAAACTGAGGAGTTGGTTTCGCAGGCGATACACGTTTACCATAAGCGCTGAACGCAGAAGTCTGGTTCTCGACGTCTTCCATTTCAGGCGGTGTACTAGACGTTGCTTTATCCCTTTCGCTTTTTCCGGCTGTTGGAAATGTCTGTTGGAAATGTCTGTTGGAAATCTGGTTGAGGAGTAGGAATACTGGCTGAAAGAATTGCGTTCCTCGTCCGTTTTATCAATGGCGGAGGAGAAACAGGAAATATGCTACTGGTATACTCAGGGAGTATATTACTCGTGTCTTCTTTGTTTTCCAGTGAAGCGGATCTCATACACGACGCTTTCTTCATGTTTTCTTCTACAAAGTTTGACGCAGATGGTGAAACAGACGACGGACCATACTGTCTAGAACTTTGTTCAACCATATTCCTCCTTGATTTCATCAATGGCGGCATTGGTGGTAGTTTATTAGAATTCAGACTACAGTCTGACTTCGACTCCTCAAAGTCTTCCATTTCTCACTGAACTGCAATAACTCGGGTAGGGGAACTTCAATTTCACCAATGCACGATTTACAGGATCAGTGAAAAACAGAGCCAATATTCCTCCCATCTAATTCACGCAGCGAAAAAAAACTACCAATGCAGAATGGTTCGCTCTGTGCGCGTGAATATCGTGTTCTACGGTGTAAAAAGCCATGTTAGTTGATAAAAAAAAGTTTGCCATAATTATGGCAGCCCGCAATGCGTGACAATTGAAGGTACATTGTAGTAGTAGTGACAATGCATGGTGACATTCAGTGAGGCCTTGACCAGTCTAGCCTGCAGTGTCCTGAGAAGCTGACTAGGCGAGAGATCTTTTCTTGGTGTGGTCGTCTCACAAGCCACTACCTGGTCCTATCTTGGCTTCGACCGGCATGTTCGTTTCTGAACCGTTTGGCTTCCTCTAATGGTGCTGGGTGGGACTCTGACTTGCCTTTTGCTGTTAGGTTGTGTTGTGTTGAGCTTACAGATCGCCTTTCTGCACAAGACCCCACCACTGGTAGCTAGAATGTTCCAACATCGCCTGACTCGGAATGGACTCTGTATTGTGATGCTTCTTATGTAGCTCTTGGTGTCGTTCTCGAGGTAAATGGCACTGCTGTTGAAGATGCATGTTGGCTGCGACAAGCAGGTGGGAAAAAGCACATCAATGTAGCTGAATTATAAGCCGTTGTGAAGGGTCAGAATCTTGCCCAACAAAGGAAAGCACAGAAAGTGAACATTGTTACCGATTCCAAACCAGTGTATCGTTATTGATTTCCTGCCAACTATGTCACTGTCTGTCCGGTGGGTTCCATCGAAGCAGAATAAGGCTGATGTTTTGTCGCGTGTTCCAGCGACATTTCTTACCGTGTTCAAGTCCTTTGCTAAAACCAGTGATGTTGTGTCTGCTGCTGTTCCCTTCCGAGACAGTGTTATCAGTTTAGCAGATATTGCTCACCACCAGTCAGCTGACAGCACTATTGCAGAAGCCATTCTGCATATAGCTGAAGGTCAGCCTATGTGTCCTGCCGCCTTCAAGAAGATCAGGAGCCAACTCGTCGTGGAAGATGGCGTACTGAAACGCAGCATCAAGCTACCGCTCGGGGAGATTGTGAATGTGCCTGTTATTGCCAAGTCTCTTGAGAGTAGTGTCCTCACTCACTCGCATACACGGACTTGTCATGGATGCTGGGAAATTATGTACCGTTTTCTTCGTGAGCGTTGTCTCGTCGCTGATCTTGCTTCTAAGTGCCAGAAGTTTGTTACGTCGTGTCGTGAATGCTGTGCAGCCAATCCTCGACGAGGTGAGTCCGTACCTCCTGCACGTGCTAGTATTGCTGAGGGTCCTTGGAACATTGTCCAAATTGAGACTTTGGAGCTAGGAGCTGCTACTGACTACCACTGTGTACTTGTTTATTACGATACCTTCAGGAAGTGGGTAGAAGTTGTGCCCGTCATGATACTAAAAGTGTTGCGTCTGCCTTTGTTAACGTATGTGCCTGCTGGGGCCCGCCATCTGTTGTGCGATGTGACAATGGCACTGAATTGTTCAACCAAGTAACTTCTGCGCTGTATGATGCATTTGGAGTTACAGTTAAGAGAGGTGCAGTAAGGCATCCACAGTCACAGGCAGTCGCTGAACGGTTTAACCGGACATTGGTAAACCTGATTCGCAAGACATTAGGTGATGCAGTTGATTGGCATGCTGAGCTTGATATCTTGCTGTACTACCATCGTGTACGTCCACATGCACAAACACACATTTCGCCATTCCAGGCTATGGTGGGATGGCAACCACGCAAGTTACTGGTTGAAAACGTACAGTGTGAGAAGTCTGGTAGTACTTGGGCTGATTACATTGAAGCTGCAGCTGCACGAATTCGTGATTATCTTGAGCTTGAATTGTCGACTACTGATTTTGTTGAAGATGTCACTAATAATCCTTATGTTATTGGAGACTGTGTCATGCTGCGTAGGTCTGCCCGCAGGCAAAAGTGTACTTCTCCTTATAATATGAGCCAGGCTGGAAAGTTGAATCTGTTATTTCCCCTAGCACAGTTGTTATTATGTACACTGCTGATAATAGGCGACACTCGAAGCGTGTGAACGTCGACTTTCTGAAGCTGGACCCTGGTGAGTCACTGGAAGAGTCTCCAGATACCTCTGATGTTGACGATCTCCCTGATGATGATAACCTGGCTGTTGTGTTCGATTCGTCTATCAGTGAACCTGCTCGCTATGGTCTGCGGGACCGACACCAGCTACGGCCGCCTGCACGGTACACTTGACTATTGTGCTCAGAGTTTCTAGATTGACTGTTTCTGCTTGATTTGCAATTGGGTCCTTTATTGTTTTTTGTTTGTTTGTATTTGGTTTGTTTTGCCTTATGTCACCAGGGGGCGTGTAGTAGTAGTGACAAAGCATGCTGACACTCAGTGAGGCCTTGATAGAAGTTACTGCTAATTCATTGACCTTTGGAATGACTGTTGCCGATTCGAATCCCACAATTGCATGTGTTACCTTTTTGTGTCTTTTCCCATTTATGCCAATGATGTAATCATTACTCATTGTAGTAGATAGAGTAGTCACCTGAGCTTCTCTGCTTGGCTGTTGCTAGGCGCCAGTGCCTGGCCCTGGTATAAAGGCAGTGGTTTCTCCTCATTTCACTCTCTTTCTCTTCGGTCCTGATGGCGTCGTGAGCTGCTGCTGGCTACTGTTCAAGTACTGTAACTATGATCCTCTCTTCCCTCTTCTTCTATTCCTCCATTGTTGTATGAAACTATGTATAACATCAAGAAAGAGTGTCTTGTTGTAGATGCGTGAGTGCTTTATGGGCGCTAGAGTTTGAGCTGGTTACGATTCAGTAACAACACGCATGTTCTTGCTGTCTCAAGCTGTCAACAGATATACTTTGAAGTAGCTTTAATATGCATCAACTGTCGCACAAACCAATGTTGGTTTGCCAAAGGAAAATCTTGTGGTTTTACAAGTAAGTGTTAAATGAACATTACTATCAATTTTTTCATTGTCAATGTCGTGACCAACAACGTAGAGCAACGTAATCTGGTTTGGAAACCACTGTGAATATATCCTGCTGTTGTACGCATCATCGACATCGACATCACCATCATCATCATTACCTGCTCTCGAGTTAGTTAGGGTAATACCTTCACTTCATAATGTTCTGCATCAATCATTAGCGAATGACTTTGTAGGCTGTCCGTGGTGAAAAGGATTTCGAATTTTTCAAAGCTGCCATTCTTCTGCAGGCTGTTAGTGGTGTCGCGGAAGATATCATCATTGTTATGAATATTAATAACTGCTATTCCGACACAAGGTGAGGATCTATCACTCACTCCAAATTCACATTATCTGAATTCAAAAGGTCTAATGCTGACTAGAGGTAGCGGAGGGGTGAGCTTTCCTGCGCAGGTATGAGTTTGGAAGTACATTGTATTTCAGCATGGTGGAGTGGACAAATTCAAAATCGAGAAAAAACAAAAATAATTATGGGGACATGCCCTCGTTGGTAGATTTGGTGTTCTACTATCTGCTCATGACGACGTAGCTCTCTATTTTATCCGCTCTCGTTATGTGGCTATTTTCAAGACGATAATTTGTGGCCTCAGGGGGTGATGGTACTCATCTTTTGGGATGCTTGCGTTGCTAAGTCGAGCTGCTCCAGTCATGCACTTTTCTAAAGTGACACAATGTTGGCTTGATGGAGTTTTATTCATTGGTTGGTCGTAAGCGCTGCAGCATGGCTCGCTTTTTTCAAGACGATAATTTGTGGTCTCAGGGGGTGATGGCACTCATCTTTTGGGATGCTTGCGTTGCTAAGTGGAGCTGCCGCAGTCATGCACTTTTCTAAAGTGACACAATTTTGCTTGATTTAGTTTTATTCATTGGTTGGTCGTAAGCGCTACGGCATGGCTCGTTTGAAACCAAAACATCATGTCATATTTTGACCATTGTTGAAGGATATGCCATTTTCAAAGCTCCCTCCAGACAATTTTCCAAAGCGGTTTTCCGCAAAGGAAACGAGTCTGCAAAATTTTAGCTAAATCGGAGAAGTCGACTTGCACATACTGTCTGGTCTTCTCAGACATGCTCCCAAAAATGGTCAAAATTGCCTTCGCACATATCTACGATCTGAAAAAATACACGTTCTCAGATCAATGGTTATGCTATAATAATGTTATTAACATCTGACATAATACATGAGAACGAGACCATGGATTACAACAGAAATACAGTATAACATAATCCACATCAGATTGCGATTCTCAACTATCATAGTCTATTACGTGTGTGGCTAGAACCAGACTTGTGTGAATAGCATCAAAGAGCGATTTCTTTTTTTAAATGCTGCGAATGTATACTATCTTTAAAACAGACACACACACTCTCTTTCTCTCTTGATCTTACAATTCATAAGCCCGAAGAGAAGATAGGCATTTTCGCACATAGAAAGCACCCTTCTTACGACTTTAGGCTATTCTTTGTAGGTTATAAATACACTGGTGTCTAGGATAACATGATGATGTTCTGAAGAACTTTGCGCACTCTCTGTACCTATATTCACGTTCTCCTGTATGTATACGTTCATGGTCATGTAGTTAGGATGACTGTGTGGATGACCTTACACATGTCTTGCACGTAAAAGGTCTTTATGCTGAATGAATACGTTCATGTTTGCGTAAATGGGACAATTGCGTGAACGATGTGGCACATGTTTTACACTTGTGCGGTCTCTATCCAGTATGAGTACGTTGATGAACACGTAGATTGCTTGACGTAGTGAAAGACTTCTCGCATGCATCACACTTGAATGGTCGTTCTCCGGTATGAGTACGTTTATGAACACATAGACTGCTTGACAGAGTGAAAGACCTCCCGCACACATCACACTTGAATGGTCGATCTCCAGTGTGAACACGTTCATGGTAGCGGAGGCGAGAAACGTATTTGAACTCTTTTTGGCAAAACTGACACCTCTGTGATGTCTTACACTTAGAACGTTTGTACGGATCCTGATTCTGAGCCATAACCTTAGAAGAGCCAGAATGTTGTCCCATAGGACGCCTTCGTGCAACTGGCATGCCAAACGGATCAGGTTGCTCCCATGTTTCAGGTGTCCTTTCAGCAGGAACTCCAGTATAATACGCTGTGGCTGGAGTTAAGACATCCATTTCAAATTGAAGAGGTGGCTTCACAGGCGATGCACGTTTCTCAAACCCGCTGAACGCTGAAATCCAGTTCACCACGTCTTCCATTTCAGACTGTGTACTAGATGTTGCTTGTTGAAATGTATGTTCGAAAGCTGGCTGACGATTAGAAATAAAGGCTGAAGGAATTGTGTTCCTCGTCCATTTTTTCAATGGCGGAGGAGGAACAGGAATTGTGCTACTGGTATACTCAGGGGGTATACTACTCGTGTCTTCTCTGTTTTCCAGTGAAGCGGATCTCATACACGACGGTTTCTCCATGTAATCTTCTAAAAGGTTTGACGCAGGAGATGGTGGAACGGACGATGGACCATACTCTCTAGAAGTTCGGTTGAGCTTAGTCCTCTTCGACTTCATCAATGACGGCATTGGTGGTAGATCATTAGAATCTACACTGCAGTCGGACATCGACTCCTCCAAGTATTCCATTTCTCACTGAACTGCAACAACTCTGGAAGGGAAATTGCATAATCAAGGCAATATTACTCGTAGCCACCTCACGCAGTGAAAATGAAATAACGGATGCAGAATGGTTCGCTCTGTGCACTTTAATATTGTGCTCTAGTGTGAAAAGCAATATTTGTTGATAAACTATCAAACATGGGTTTGCCATAATTCTGGCAGCCCGCAATGCCTGACAATTGTACGTATGTTCTCAAAATCAAGTACATGGCAACTTGATGGCACCATCTCAAGATGTCATGAACGTTTGCATTAATTGTCGCGCAAAAAAGTGTTAGTTGATAGTGGAGAATCTTGTCGTTTCAAGTGGTAAATGATCACTCCTACTGTTCTTTGTCAGTGTCAACACTACACGTTGTTCTTCAGTGCTGAACTGCCATTCTGAAACAAGTAAAAGATCTAGCTCTCACCAAAAATTTACTTTTCAGAATTCCAAAGGTCTATTGCCGACTAGACGTAGCGGAGGGATGAGCTTTCCTGCACAGGTGTGAGTTTGGATGTACATTGTATTTCAGATGGTGGAGTGGAAAAATTCAAATTGTTCTTTCAAGAAAACGCGAAAAGGAGGATGCGCTACATGTCCTCAGTGCTAAAAGATGTGTTCTGCTATCTTGTTGTTTTGTTGTTGTTTGTTTATTTAGAGTCGAAGACCATACAGGCAAAATTTGTCTAAATCCATGATATCGACTAAAAAGGAGAATAAAGTATTAACGATTATCTGCTGATGAATAGTTCTTGCTATATGAGGACGTAGCTCTCTATTTTGTCCGCACTTCTAAATTGGCTCTTTTGAAGACGATCATTCGTGGCCTCAGGGTGTGATGGCTCTCATCTTCTGCGATGCTTGCGTGGCTAAGCGGAGCTGCCCCAGTCATGAATTTTCTAAAGTGAGTAAATGTTGGATTGATGGAGTTTTATTCGTAGTTTGGTCTTAAACGCTGTGGCATGTCTCGTTTGCAGACCCACAAATCATGTGATGTTTTGACCAATGTTAAGGGATATGTCCATTTCAAGGTTCCCTTCGGACACCTTTTCAAAGGATTTGAACAGTCGATCTACCCCCCCCCCCCCCCGCCTCCCGAAGAAAACGTAACTGCCAAACTTGAGGGAAATCAGAGAGATCCACTTGCACACATTGTCTAGTCGTCTAAGACGTCTCTTAAAAGTCAAAAAACGCTTCGCAGAAATCTACGATCTGAATTAATTAAACTTTCTCAGATCGAAGGCTTTGCTTGAATATGATTATTAACTTCTGACATAATACATGAGAACGAGACCATGGAACAGAACACAAATACAGAATTACATAATCCACATCAGGTTGCGATTCTCTACAATCATAGTTTATCGCGTGTGTGGCTAGGACCAGACTTTTGTGAATACCATCAAAGAGTGATTTCTTAAATGCTGCAAATGTACACTATCTTTCAAACAGACACACACACTCTTTCTCTCTTGTTTTTACAATTCATAAGCGCAAAGAGAAGAAAGACATTTTCACCAATACAAAACACTATCTAACGACTTTTAGGCTATTCATTGTAGGTTATAATATAACTTATAAATACACTGGTGTCTAGGATAACATGATGATGTTCTGAGGAACTTTGCGCACTCTCTGCATCTATATGCACGTTTTCCTGTATGTATATTCATGGTCGTGTAGTTAGGATGACTGTGTGGATGACCTTACACATGTCTTGCACGTAAAAGGTCTTTATTTAGGAATGGATACGTTTATGCCTGCGTAAATTAGACGAATGTGTGAACGATTTTCCACATTTCTTACACTTGTGCGGTCTCTCTCCAGTATGAGTATGTTTATGATCACATAGATTGCCTGACTGAGTGAACGATTTCCCGCATACATCACACTTGAATGGTCGATCTCCAGTATGAGTACGTTTATGAGCACAGAGATGGCCTGAATAAGAGAAAGACATCCCGCATAAATCACATTTAAATGGTCGATCTCCAGTATGAGTACGTTTATGAGCACAGAGACTACCTGACTGAGTGAAAGACTTCTCGCATACATCACACTTGAATGGTCGATCTCCAGTATGAACACGTTCATGCTCGCGGAGGCGAGAAACGTACTTGAACTCTTTTTGGCAAAACTGACACCTCTGTAATGTCTTACACTTAGAACTCTTGTACGAATCCTGATTCTGAGCCACAACCTTAGAAGGTTCAGAATGTTGTCCGATAGGATGCCTTCGTTCAACTGACATGCCAAACGCATCAGCTTGCTCCCACAGGTCAGGCGTCCGTCCACCAAAAACTCCAGTATTTGACGCTGTGGCTGGAGTTAAGCCATCTATTTCGAACTGAAGAGGTGGCTTCACAGGCGATGCATGTTTCTCACGCCCGCTAAACGTTGAAGTCCAGTTCACCACGTCTTCCATTTCAGACTGTGCACTAGACGTTGCTTCATCCCTTTGGCTTTTGTCTGCAGTTTGAAATGCCTGTTCGAAAGCTGGCTGACGATTAGAAATACTGGCTGAAGGAATTGTCCATTTTATCAATGGCGGAGGAGACACAGGAATTGTGCTACTGGTAAACTCAGGGGGTATACTGCTCGTGTCTTCTCTGTTTTCCAGTGAAGCGAATCTCATACACGACGATTTCTCCATGTTTTCTTCTAAAAGGTTTGACGCAGGAGATGGTGGAACGGACGATGGACCATGCTTTCTGAACGTTCGGTTGAGCTTAGTCCTCTTCGACTTCATCAATGGCGGCATTGGTGGTAGATCATTAGAATCCACACTGCAGTCAGACATCGAATCCTCCAAGTATTCCATTTCTCACTGAACTGCAACAACTCTGGAAGGGAAATTGCATACCCGAGGCAATATTACTCGTAACCACCTCACGCAGTGAAATGAAAATTTTGGATGCAGAATGGTCTGCTCTGTGCAATTTAATATCGTGCTCTAGTGTGAAAAGCAATATTAGTTGATGACATTAAAAAATGTGTCTGCCATGATTCTGGCAGTCCGCAATGCGTGACAATTATAAGTATGCTCTTAAAATCAAGTTCATGGCAACTTGATGGCACCATACCAAGATGTCTTGGACGTTTACATTAATTGTCGCACAAAAAGATGTTAGTTACTATGGGAGAATCTTGTCGTCTTAAGTGATAAATGATCACTCCTACTGTTCTTTATCAGTGTCAACACTACACGTTGTTCTTCAGTACTGAACTGCCATTCTGACACAAGTAAAGGATCTAGCACTCACCAAAAAATTCCTTTTCAGAATGCAAAAGGTCTATTGCCGACTAGACGTTGCGGAGGGGTGAGCTTTCCTGCACAGGTGTGAGTTTTGATCTACATTCTATTTGAGGTGGTGGAGTGGAAAAAGTCATAATGTGTTTTTTAAGAAAAGGCAAAAAGGAGGATGGGGTACATGTGCTCAGTGCTAGAAGAGGTGTTCTACTATCTTGTTGTTTTGTTGTTTGTTTATTTACAGTCGAAGACTAAACAGGCAAAAGTTGCCTTATTCCATGATATCGACTAGAAAGGAGAATAAAGTATAAAAGACTATCTGCCAATGAATAATTTTTGCTAAATTAGGACGTAGCTCTCCATTTAGTTTGCCCTTGGAATTTGGCTCTTTTGAAGAGGATCATTTGTGGCCTCAGGGTGTGATGGTCCTCGTCTTCTGGGATGCTTTGGATGGCTAAGCGGAGCTGCACCAGTCAGGCACGTTTCTAAAGTGACAAAATGTGGGCTTCATGGAGCTTAATTCTTAGCTTGGTCGTATACGCTGTGCATGTCTCGTTTTCAGACCCATAAATAATGTGATGTTTTGACCAATGTTAAGGGGTATGTCCATTTCAAAGTTCCATTCGGACACCTTTTCAAGGGCTTTGAAGAGTCGATCTACCCCCCCCCCCCCCCCCTGAAAGAAAACGTTCCTGCCAAACTTGAGAGAAATCGGAGAGATCCACTTGCACACATTGTCTGGTGGTCTAAGACATGGTCTCTTAAAAGTCAAAAACGCTTCGCACACATCTACGATCTGAATAAATTGAACTTTGTCAGATCGAAGGTTATGCTAGAATACGATTATTACCTTCTGACATAAAACATGAGAACAAGACCATGGAAGAGAACAGAAATACAGAACTACATAATCCACATCAGATTGCGACGCTGGACTACCATAGTTTATCGCGTGTGCGGCTAGGACCGGACTGTGAATAGCATCAAAGAGAGATTTCTTTTTTTAAATGCTGCGAATGCATACTATCTTTCAAACAGACACACACACACTCTTTCTCTCTTGGTCTTACAAATCATAAGCGCAAAGAGAGGAAAGACATTTTCGCCCATACAAAACACTATCTAACAACTGGTAGGCTATTCATTGTAGGTTGTGAATGCACTGGTGTCTACGATAACATGATGATGTTCTGAAGAAATTTGGGCACTCCCTGCACCTATACGGCCGTTCTCCTGTATGTATACGTTCATGGTCATGTAGTTGGGATGACTGTGTCGATGTCCTCACACCTGTCTTGCACTTAAAAGTTCCTTATGCAGAATGGATACGTTCATGTCTGCGTAAATGGGACGATGTTGTGAACGATATCCCCCATTTCTTACACTTGTGCGGTCTCTCTCCGGTATGAGTACGTTTATGAACACATAGACAGTATGACTTAGAGAATGACATCCCGCATACATCACACTTGAATGGTCGACCTCCAGTGTGAACACGTTTATGAGCGCAGAGACTGGCTGACTGAGTGAAAGACTTCTCGCATACATCACACTTGAATGGTCGATCTCCAGTGTGCACACGTTTATGAGCGCAGAGATTGCCTTACTGAGTGAAAGACTTCTCGCATACATCACACTTGAATGGTCGAACTCCAGTGTGAACACGTTCATGCTCGGGGAGGTGAGACTTTTTTGAACTCTTTTGGGCAAAACTGACACCTTTGCGAGGTCTTATACTTAGAACGCTTTGGTGAATCCTGTTTCCAAGCCATAGCCTTAGAAGAGTCAGAATTATGTCGGATAGGACGCCTGTGTCCGACCAGCATGTCATATGCATCAGGTTGCTCACATGTTTCACGTGTTCTTCCAGCGGAGACTCCAGTATTTGACGCTGTAGATGGAGTTAAAGCGTCCATTTCAAACTGAGGAGATGATCTCACCACCGATGAACGTTTCTCATACCCGCTGACCGTTGAAGTACAGTTCACTATGTCTTCCATTTCAGAAGGTGTACTAGAAGTTGCTTTATCCCTTTCGCTTTCGTCGGCTGTTCGAAATGTCTGTTCGAAAGCTGGCTGACGGTTAGAAATGCTGCCTGAGTGAATTGTGTTCCTCGTCCATTTTATCAATGGCGGAGGAGAAACAGGAATTAGGCTACTGGTATACTCAGGGGGTATTTTACTCTTGTCCTCTCTGTTTTCCAGTGAAGCAGATCTCATACACGACTCTTTATTCATGTTTTCCTCTAAAATGTTAGACGCAGGAGATGGTGGAGCAAACGATGGACCTTGCTCTCTAGACCTTTATTTGAGCTTCTTCCATTTCGACTTCATCAATGTCGGCATTGGTGGTAGTTCATTGGTATTCACACTGCAGTCAGACATTGACTCTTCAAAGTATTCCATTGCTCACAGAACTGCAGCAACCCTTGAAGGGAAATTGCATAGCACAGCAAATATAACTCGTAACATTTTCACGCAGTGATCAAAACTACGGATGTAGAATGTTTACCATCTGTGTACTTTAATATCGTATTCTAGTGTGTCAAAAGTCATAATATTATTAGTTGATAACAATGGGTTTGCTATATTTATGGCAGCCTGTAATATGTGCCGAATACACGCACGTTCTCAACATCACGTACATGAAAACTTCCTGTTACCATCTCAAGCTGTCATGGAATTGTGCAACAATTGTGGCACACAAAGAGGTTAGTTGTCAAAGGATTATCTTGTCGTTTTTAATGACAAATGATCACTCATACCTTTCTTTGTCACTGTCAACGTTACACCTCGTTCTTCAGTGCTCAGCTGCTATTCTGACACAAGTAACGGATCCATCACTCACCAAAAATGCACCAACTCACCAAAAATTCGTTGTTTCAGAATTGTTGAGTTCAAAACAGGACGATTGACAACGGGAACAAGTTAGTGGGAACGACATTTATTATAGACGACGAGACAAGAGACCAAGACGAACGAAACGACTACATGGTGATTATTGACGAGTGAGAAAAGAGAGAGAGAGATCAAGTCTGAACGGCAAGATAAAGGGCCTGGGTAGCTATGGCAAATATGGGCGCGCAAGTAGCTACCCAGGCCAACGGAACAAAAGGAGACAAAAGGTGAGTACGTAAGTGCATGCAGGCCAACTAGAAAAGGTACGGGAGGAGGTACCTAACATACAACCCCTCCATGAAAAAAAATCCCGCGTCCTCGCGGAGAGAAAAAAAAGAGAGAAAAAGATTTAAAAAAATTAACTGGAGGAGAAAACACACACACACACACTCACGGGCCTCACAAAAGTGTGGACTAAAAAATGCACTACAGATCATTACAACCGTCAACGTTCCTGTACTACTCATACTATAGTGTGTACATTGCCAATAACAACGGGCCCAAACGCCCCTTCAAAACATGGCCCAAAAAATAACTATTGGAGTTCGACGAGGGACTTGAATTGTATTCTGATGACTAGTATTTTGCACGGCTAATAGAGCCTAGTTACACTTTAATAAACGACATAAATAAGAGAGCGTGGCTCACCATGATCGGACCCCTAATATTAATGAAGGACACCCGCGCGCACACACACTACAAAAAAATTCACCAAAATAAATTTGACGAAGAAGGAACGCATACAAAAAAAAGAAAGAGAGAAAGGTAGCTGACCTGCATGGCTTGAACGACACGAGGTTGATATAGACGAGACGATGTTGGCGTAGGAGAGACGAGGTTGATAGAGACGAGACGAGGTTGGCGTAGGAGAGACGAGACTGACATGGACGAGACGAGGTTGACATAGACGAAACGAATGGCGGTTGAGGACGGCTGGGCATGGGATGATCTCAGGGTCGTGGGTCGATTAATAATCGGGCGCCAATGTTGAGTTCGAAACAGGACGATTGACAACGGGAACAAGTTAGTGGGAACGACATTTATTATAGACGACGAGACAAGAGACCAAGACGAACGAAACGACTACATGGTGATTATTGACGAGTGAGAAAAGAGAGAGAGAGAGATCAAGTCTGAACGGCAAGATAAAGGGCCTGGGTAGCTATGGCAAATATGGGCGCGCAAGTAGCTACCCAGGCCAACGGAACAAAAGGAGACAAAAGGTGAGTACGTAAGTGCATGCAGGCCAACTAGAAAAGGTACGGGAGGAGGTACCTAACAGAATGAAGAGTAAGAACTGATACTCCGAGGGCAACGGAGTCTGGTTTGGAAGCCACTGTGAATACATCCTGCTGTTGTATGCATCATCGACATCGACATCACCATCATCATCATCAGTACCTGCTGTCGAGCTAGTTACGGTAGGACCTTTACTTCAGAATATTCTGCATCAATCATTAGCGAATGACTTTGTAGGCTGTTCGTCGTGAAAAGAATTTCAATTTTTCAAAGGTGCCATTCTTCTGCAGGCTGTTAGTAGTGTTCCGGAATATATTATTATTTTTCTGAATGTAAAATAACTGCTCTTCTGACACAAGTAGAAGATCTATCACTCACTCAAAATTCACATTTTCAGAATGCAAAAGGTCTTTTGCTGACTAGAGGTAGCGGAGGGGTGAGCTTTCCTGCGCGGGTATGAGTTTGGAAGTACATTGTACTTCAGCATGGTGGACTGGACAAATTCAAAATCAAGAAAATCCAAAATAATGATGGTGGGACATGTCCTCGTTGCTAGATTTGGTGTTCTACTATCTGCTCATGACGACGTAGCTCTCTATTTTGTCCGCTCTCGTGATTTAGCTATTTTCAAGACGATAATTTGTGGCCTCAGGGGATGATGGCACTCATATTCTGCGATGCTGGCGTGATTAAGCGGAGCTGCCCCAGTCATGCACCTTTCTAAAGTGACTCAATGTTGGCTTGATGGAGTTTTATTCGTTGGTTGGTGGTCGGCGCTACGGCATGACTCGTTCGCAGACCCTAACAATCATGTCACATTTTGACCATTGTTGAGGGGAATGCCATTTTCAAAGTTCCCACCAGACAATTTTCCAAGGCGGTTTTGCGCCAAGGAAACGTGCCTGCAAATTTTTAGCTAAATCGGAGAAGTCGACTTGCACATAATGGCTGGTCTTCTCAGACATGCTCCCATAAATACAAAATGCCTTCGCACATATCTACGATCTGAATAAATACACTTTCTCAGATTAAAGGTTATGCTATAATAATGCTATTGACTTCTGACATAATACATGAGTACGTGACCATGGAATAGAACAAAAATACAGAACTACATAATCCACATCAGCTTGCGATTCTCGACTATCATAGTTTACAGCGTGTGTGCTAGGACCAGACTTGTGTGAATAGCATCAAAGAGTGGTTTCTTTTTTTAAGTGCTGCGAATGTATACTATCTTTCAAACAGACAGACACTCACACTCTTTCTCTCACAATTCATAAGCGCAAAGAGGAGAATTTCATTTTCACACAATATTTAAACACTATGTTCCGACTTTTAGGCTTTTCATTGTAGGTTATGAATACACTCGTGTCTAGGGTAACATGATGATGTTTTGAAGAACTTTGCGCACTCTCAGCACCTATACGGACGGTTTCCTGTATGTATTTGTTCATGGTCATGTAGTTAGGATGACTGTGTGAATGACCTTACACATGTCTAGCACGTTGAAGATCTTTCTCCAGAATGGATACGTTCATGTCTGCGAAAATTGGACGAATCATTGAACGACGCACCACATGTCTTACACTTGTGCGGTCTCTCTCCAGTATGAGTACGTTTATGAACACATAGACTCGATGAGTGAGTGAAAGACTTCCCACATACATCACACTTGAATGGTCGATCCCCAGTATGAGTACGTTTATGAACAAATAGATTGCCGGATTGAGTGAAAGACTTCCCGCATACATCACACCTAAATGGTCGATCTCCAGTATGAACACGTTCATGCTGGGATAGTTGAGAATCGTTCTTGCACTCGATATGGCAAAACTGACACTTCCGTATTGCCTTACACTTAGAACGCTTGTCTGGATCCTGATTACGCGTCATAACCTTAGAATAGTCAGCATTTTGTCCGACAGGACGCCTTCGTGCAACTGGCATGCCAAACGCATCAGGTTGCTCCCATGTCCCACGCGTCCTTCCGGCAGTAACTCCAGTATATGATGCTGAGGCTGGAGTTAAGACGTCCATTTGAAATTGAAGAAGTGGCTTCACAGGCGATGCACGTTTCCCATACCCGCTGACCGTTGAAGGCCAGTTCAATACGTCTTCCATTTCAGACTGTGTACTATACGTTGCTTCATCTCTTTCGATCTTTTCGGCGGTTCGAAATGTCTTTGTGAAAGCTTGTTGACGATTAGAAATACTGGCCGAAGGAATTGTGTTCCTCGTCCATTTTATTAATGGCGGAGGAGAAGCAGGATTTATGCTTCTGGTATACTCTGGGTGTATCATACTCGTGTCCTCTCTGTTTTCCAGTGAAGCAAATCCCATACAAGACGCTTTCTCTGTGTTTGCTTCCCCAATCTTCGACCCCAAAGAGGGTGGAACGGACGATGGACCATGCTCTCTAGAAGTTTGGTCGAGCTTGTTCCTTTTCAACTTCATCAATGGCGGCACTGGTGGCAGTTCATTAGACTCCAGACTACAGTCAGACTTCGACTCTTCAAAGTCTTCCATTTCTCACAGAACTGCAACAACTCTGGAAAGAAAATTGTATAACAGAGCCAATAATACTCGTAACCAATTCGCGAAGTTAAAAAACCTGCAAATCACAACGTTTCGCTCTGTGTACTCTATTATCGTGTTCTAGTGTGTCAAAAGCCATATTTGTTGATGACAATGGGTTTGACATAATTCTGGCAGCCCGCAATGCGTGAGAATTTTACGTTCTCAACTTCAAGTACATGGCACCTTACAGATCTCAAGCTGTCACGGACTATTGCATCCTTTGTCGACCAAAACGATGTTAGTTGCCTTAGAAAATCTTGTCGTTTTAAGTGATAAATGAACACTTCTACGGTTCTTTGTCAGTGACAACACTACACGTTGTTCTTCAGCACTGAACTGCCACTCTGACACAAGGATCTATCACCCCCAAATATTCTTTTTCAGTATGCAAAAGGTCTATTGCTGACTCGACGTCGCGGAGGGGTGAGATTTCCTGCACAGGTGTGAGTGTGGATGTACATTATGTTTCAGCATGGTGGAGCAGAAAAATTCAAATTGTTTTTTCAAGAAAACGCAAAAAGAGGAGGATGGGCTACATGACCTCAGTGCTAGAAGAGAAGTTTGACTATGTTGTTGTTTTGTGATTGTTTGTCTATTTAGACTCGAAGACCACACAGGCAAAATGTTCCTAATTCCATGATATCGACTAAAAAGGAGAAAAGTATAAAAGAAATCTGACAATTAATAGTTCTTGCTAAATGAGGACGTAGCTCTCTATTTTGTCCGCCCTTGTAAATTGGCTCTTTTAAAGACGATCATTCGTGGCCTCAGGGTGTGATGGCCATCATCTTCTGGGATGCTTGCGTGGCTAAGCGGAGCTGCCCAGTCATGCACTTTTCTAAAGTGAGACAATGTTGGCTTGATGGAGTTTTATTCGAAGCTTGGTCGTATACGCTGTGGCATGTCTCGTTTGCAGACCCATAAATCATGTTGTGTTTTGACCAATGTTTAGGGGTGTGTCTATATCAAGGTTACCTTCGAAAACATTTTCAAGGGCTTCGAACAGTCGATCTACCCCCCCCCCCCCCCGCCCCCCAAGGAAACGTACCTGCCAAATTTGATGGAAATCAGAGAGATCCACTTGCACACATTGTCCGGTCTACTTAGACAAGGTCAATTGAAAGTCAGCAAACGCTTCGCACAAATCTACGATCTGAATTAATTAAACCTTCTCAGATAGAACGTTATGCTAGAATAAGGTTATTGACTTCTGATATAAAACATGAGAACGGGACCATGGAATAGACCAGAAATACAGAACTACATAATCCACATCAGATCGCGATTCTGTACAATCATAGTTTATCTCGTGTGTGGCAAAGACCAGACTTGTGTGAACAGCATCAAAGAGTGATTTCGTTTTTTAAATGCTGCGAATTTTAACTATCTTTCAAACAGACACACACACTATCGTTCTCTCTTGATCGTAAAATTTATAAGCACGAAGAATAGAAATACATTTTCACCCATACAAAACACTATCTAACGACTTTTAGGCTATTCATTGTAGGTTATAAATACACTGGTGTCTAGGATAACATGATGATGTTCTGAAGAACTTTGCGCACTCTCTGCACCTATATGGACGTTCACCTGTATGTATACGTTCATGGTCACGTAGTTAGGATGACTGTGTGAATGACGTTACACATGTCTAGCACGTGAAAGATCTTTCTCCAGAATGGATAAGTTCATGTTTCCGTAAATTTGACGAATCCGCGAACGACGCACCACATGTCTTACACTTGTACGGTCTCTCTCCAGTATGAGTACGTTTATGAACGCAGAGATGGCCTGACTGAGTGAAACACTTCCCGCATACATCACACAGGAATGGTCGATCTCCTGTATGAGTACGTTTATGAGCACAGAGATGGCCTGACTGAGTGAAAGACTTCCCGCATACATCACACCTGAATGGTCGATCTCCAGTATGAACACGTTCATGCTGGCGGAAGCGAGAAACGTACTTGAACACTTTTGGGCAAAACTGACATCTCTGTGATGTCTTCCACTTAGAATGCTTGCACGGATCCTGGTTCTGAGCCAAAAGCTTAGAAGATTCAGAATGTTGTCCGATACGACGCCTTCGTTCAACTGGCACGCCAAACGCATCAGGTGGCTCCAACGTGTCAGATGTCCTTCCAGTAGAAACTCCAGTATTTGACGCTGTGGGTCGAGTTGAAACGTCTATTTTAATTTGAAGAGGTGGTCTCACAGGCGATGCACGCTTCTCAGACCCACTGAACGTTGAAGTCCAGTTCAACACGTGTTCCATTTCAGCCAATGGACTAGACGTTACTTCATACCTTTCGCTTTTGTCGGCGGTTAGAATGGTCTGCTCGAAAGCTGGCTGACGATCAGAAATACTGGCTGAAGAAATTGTGTTCCTCGTCCATTTCATCAATGGCGGAGGAGAAACAGGAATTATGCTACTGGTATACTCAGGGGGTATATTGCCGGTGTCTTCTCTGTTTTCAAGTAAAGCGGATCTCATACGCGACGATTTCGCATTGTTTGCTCCGCCAATGTTTGACCATGAAGATGGTGGAACGGACGATGGACCAGGCTCTCTAGACGTTTGGTCGAGCTTATTCCTCTTCGACTTCATCAATGGCAGCATTGATGGTAGTCCATAGGAATCCAGACTACAGTCAGACTTCAAGTTCTCAAAGCCTTCCGTTTCTAACTCAACTGCAGCAACTCTGGAAGGGAAATTGCATAACACAACCAATATTACTCGTAACCACTTCGAGCAGTGAACAAAACTACGAATTCAAAATGTTTCGCTCTGTGCACTCTAATATCGTGTTCTAGTGTGTCAAAAGCCATAATAGTTGATAATAATGGGTTTGCCATAATTATGGCAGCCCGCAATGCGTGACAATTTTACGTATGTTCTCAACTTCAAGTACATGGCACCTTGCTGTCACGATCTCAAGCTGTCGTTGAATTTTGCATCAATTGTCGCACAAAAAATGTTAGTTCCCAAATGAGAGTCTTGTCGGTTATGTGACTAATGATCACTCCTGCATATGTTTGTCAGTCTCAACAGTATAATTTGTCCTGCAGCGTTCAACTGCTATTCTGACGCAAGTAAAGGATCTATCACTCGAAATTCACTGTTTCAGTATAAAGAGTAAAAACTGATACTCCAAGGCCAACGTAATCAGGTTTGGAAGCCGTTGTAAGTATGTCCTATTGTAGTACGCATGTTATCATTATCATCATCATCATTACCTGCTCTCGAGCTAGTTAGGCTGACGCCTTCACTTCGGAATTTTCTGTATCAATCATTGGCGACTGACTTTGTAGGCTGTCCGTGGTGAAAAGGATTTCAAACTTCTCAAAGTTGCCATTCTTGTGAAAGCTGTGTAACAGGGCGTCACACCTCATCCTTACACGCTTAGTCATACTCACTCATCTGACTTATACTATCAGTATCTCACCTTGTGTTCTCACCTACATCCTTTAGCATACCTATGTTGCTAATAGACAACCTCTTACCTTCCACAACGTCTCACCGGTTACAGGCTGGTAGTGGATGTCGATGAAGATATTATCATGGTTAGGACGTAGCTGTCTATTTTGTCCGCCTTTGTAATCTGGCTATTTTCAAGGCCACCATTTCGTGGCCCATCAGTTCGGCGGTAATGGCCCTCATCTTCTGGTATGCTTGCGTGGCTAAGTGGAGCTGCCCCAGTCGCGTTTCTAAAGCGAGACAATCAGTTGGCTTGACGGAGCTTGATTCGTTAGTTGGCCGTAAACGCTGTGGCTTGTCTCATTTGCAGACCCATAATAATGTGATGTTTTGACCATTTTTGAGGTCAAAACAACATACCTGACAACTTGTGTGTCTCTAGGGATTCGAAGATCGATTGGAGGGGAAGCTATGCAAACACGAATTATGAGTAACCAAAAGGCTCAGTACTAAAATGCAGTATATCGACCAAAGGAAAATGAAATTGAAGACACCACTGCAGCTGTACCTATGGTTGATAAATATGGTGGTAAAGACACACCTGGCAATATGGCGGAAAAACATACACACGCTCTCTAGGCAGCAAAGTTCTGGCACAGAGCTCTCCTTCTCACCACCACCCCCATAAGTTCGCGCCTGGCACCTGGTCGATTCATGGCTGGCGGTATCGGGCATAGCAGCCTGGTACATCAAGTAGCGCATGGCACATAGAAGATGACATGGCAACGACTTAGCTCGATTGTGACGTACGTTTTGTCTACGCTGGACTCATCAGGCGATCTTCTTCTTGGACCTCTTCATACGGAGCTTGACTCGGGAGAATAAAATTGAAGACACCACTGCAGCTGTACTTATGGTTGATAAATATGGTGGTAAAGACACACCCGGCATTATGGCAGTAAACACACGCCCGCCCACACACGCTCTCTAGGCTGTGATAATGAGCCTCTTACGTTAAGCAACTGTTTGAACACCACTTTTTATCTATCTACCTCTCTCTCTCTCTTTCTCTCTCTCCCTTCCAAGTCAGCTTGTCAACACGCGAGTAAAGGGTAGAAAGTGACTACATGTACTGCACCAGTAGAAACATTGATATGTGCTGCAGCTTAGAGGACATTCTTCACCTGCAAGAGGGTCAGAATAGATGACGATCATTACCTTCTATACCTATAAGTGTCAGGCTCTTCCCTTCGCAATGTTCTGTCTACATCATTAACGAATGATTTTATAGACTGTCCGTGGTGGAAAGGATCTCAAAACATTCTTCACCTGCAAGAGGGCCAGGCTAGATGACCATCACTACCTTCGCTCGAGGTACTAATAGTTAGGCCATTGGCATCAGAATTGTCTGCCTCAATCAGTAGCAAATGTCTTTCCAGGCTGTCTGTGGTTCAAAGGATTTCAAATTTCGCAACGGTGCCGTTCTTCAGCAGCAGGTGTCAGCAGAACATTCGGGAGAATTAAATACAATTATCAACACTGGATCTTTTGGGAACTAATGCTAGTCTTCGTGACCCTTGGCTTGGTAGATTTATCAATTTCACATAATAATACATGAGAACAAGACAATTGAATTGAACTCAAATACAAAACAAAATAATCCACATAAGATTACGGTTCTGTACTATCATAGTCTATCACATTTGTGGCTACGATCAGACTCGTGTGAATAGTATCAAAGACAGTACCTTTTTTCAAACTGCTGCGAATATATTTTCCTTTTCTAACCGAAACTAACACAATCTCTCACACCCACCCATGCACTCTTATTAACTCTCTTTCTCTCACTCACGTGTTCGTAAAATTCATTAGATCGAAACGGAGAAATCCTTTTAACACACAGTAGAAAACTTTCAAACGACATTTATGTTTTCACTTTAGGTTATGAATCCGCTCATGTCTACGAAGACTTGATGCATACTGGAAAACTTTGGCGCACTCTTCCCACCTTTACGGATCTTCTCCTATATGTACCGGTATACGTTCATGGTGACGTAGATTGTGTAACCAGTTGAATGACCTTCCAAATGTCTTGCACGTAAAAGGTTTTTCCCCAGAATGGATACTTTCATGTCTGAGCAAATTGGACGGTGTTGTGAAAGATGATGCACATGTCATACACGTGTACGGTCTCTCTCCAGTATGAGTACGTTTATGAACACATAGATTGCCTGACTGAGTGAAGGACTTCCCGCATACATCACACTTGAATGGTCGATGTCCACTATGCGTACGTTTATGAACACAGAGATTGTTTGATCGAGTGAAAGACTTCCCGCATACATCACACTTGAATGGTCGATCTCCAGTGTGAACACGGTCATGCTCGCGGAGGTGAGATATTTGTTTGAACTCTTTTGGGCAAAACTGACACCTTTGCGAAGTCTTATACTTAGAACTCTTTTGCGAATCCTGATTCTGAGCCATAGTCTTAGAAGAGTCAGAATTTTGTCGGATAGAACGCCTGTGTCCGACCGGCATGTCACACGCATCAGGTTGCTCCCATGCTTCAAGTGTCCTTCCAGCAGAAACTCCGATATTTGACGCTGTGGATGGAGTTAAGGCGTCCATTTCAAACTGAGGAGATGATCTCACAGGCAATGCACGTTTCTCATACCCGCTGACCACTGAAGTCCAGTTCACCAAGTCTTCCATTTCAGAAGGTGTACATGTACTAGAAGTTGCTTCATCCCGTTCGTTTTCGTCGGCTGTTCGAAATGTCTGTTGGAAAGCTGGCTGACGGTTAGAAATGCTGCCTGAGTGAATTGTGTTCCTCGTCCATTTTATCAATGGCGGAGGAGAAACAGGAATTAGGCTACTGGTATACTCAGGGGGTATGTTACTCTTGTCCTCTCTGTTTTCCAGTGAAGCAGATCTCATACACGACGCTTTCTTCATGTTTTCCTCTAAAATCTTAGACGCAGGAGATGGTGGAGCACACGATGGACCTTGCTCTGTAGACGGTTGTTTGAGCTTCTTCCATTTCGACTTCATCCCTGTCGGCATTCGTGGTAGTTCATTGGTATTCACACTGCAGTCAGACATCGACTCCTCAAAGTCTTCCATTGCTCACAGAACTGCAGCAACTCTTGAAGGGAAATTGCATAGCACAGCAAATATAACTCGTAACATTTTTGCGCAGTGATCAAAACTACGGATGTAGAATGTTTACCATCTGTGTACTTTAATATCGTATTCTAGTGTGTCAAAAGTCATAATATTATTAGTTGATAACAATGGGTTTGCTATATTTATGGCAGCCTGTAATACGTGCCGAATACACGCACGTTCTCAACATCAAGTACATGGAAACTTCCTGTTACCATCTCAAGCTGTCATGGAATTGTGCACCAATTGTGGCACACAAAGAGGTTAGTTGTCAAAGGAGTATCTTGCCGATTTTAATGATAAATGATCACTCATACCTTTCTTTGTCACTGTCAACGTTACACCTCGTTCTTCAGTACTCAGCTGCTATTCTGACACAAGTAACGGATCCATCACTCACCAAAAATTCACCAACTCACCAAACATTCGTTGTTCCAGAATGAAGAGTAAGAACTGAGAGTCCGAGGGCAACGGAGTCCGGTTTTGAAGCCACTGTGAATACATCCTGCTGTTGTATGCATCATCGACATCGATATCACCATCATCATCATCATTACCTGCTGTCGAGCTAGTTGCGGTAGGACCTTTACTTCAGAATATTCTGCATCAATCATTAGCGAATGACTTTGTAGGCTGTTCGTCGTGAAGAGAATTTCAATTTTTCAAAGGTGCCATTCTTCTGCAGGCTGTTAGTAGTGTTCCGGAATATATTATTATTTTTAAGAATGTAAAATAACTGCAATTCTGACACAAGTATAAGATCAATCACTCACTCAAATTTCACATTGTCAGAATGCAAAAGGTCTTTTCTGACTTGAGGTAGCGGAGGAGTGAGCTTTCCTGCGCGGGTATGAGTATGGAGGTACATTGTAGTTCAGCATGGTGGACTGGAGAAATTCAAAATCAAGAAAAACCAAAATAATGATGGGGGGGGACATGTCCTCATTGCTAGATTTGGTGTTCTACTATCTGCTGATGAGGACGTAGCTCTCTATTTTGTCCGCTCTTGTAATTTGGCTATTTTCAAGACGATAATTTGTGGCCTCAGGGGATGACGGCACTCATCTTCTGCGATGCTGGCGTGACTAAGTGGCGCTGCCCCAATCATGCAACTTTCTAAAGTGACTCAATGATTATGTTGGCTTGATGTCGTTTTATTCGTTGGTTGGTGGTCGGCGCTACGGCATGGCTCGTTTGCAGACGCTAACAATCATGCCACATTTTGACCATTGTTGAGGGGTATGCCATTTTCAAAGTTCGCTCCAGACAATTCTCCAAGGTGGTTTTGCGCCAAGGAAACGTGCCTGCAAATTTTCAGCTAAATCGGAGAAGTCGACTTGCACATAACGTCTTGTCTTCTCAGACATGCTCCCATAAATACAAAAATGCCTTCGCACATACCTACGATCTGAATAAATACACTTTCTCAGATCAAAGGTTATGCTATAATAATGCTATTGACTTCTGACATAATACATGAGTACGTGACCATGGAATAGAACAAAAATACAGAACTACATAATCCACATCAGCTTTACAGCGTTTACAGCGTGTGTGCTAGGACCAGACTTGTGTGAATAGCATCAAAGAGTGATTTCTTTTTTTAAATGCTGCGAATGTATACTATCTTTCAAACAGACAGACACTCACACTCTTTCTCTCACAATTTATAAGCGCAAAGAGGAGAAATTCATTTTCACACAATAGTAAAACACTTTGTAACGACTTTTAGACTCTTCATTGTAGGTTATGAATACACTCGTGTCTACGGTAACATGATGATATTCTGAAGAACTTTGTGCACTCTCAGCACCTATACGGACGTTCTCCTGTGTGTATACGTTCATGGTCATGTAGTTGGGATGACTGTGTGAATGACCTTACACATGTCTAGCACGTAGAAGATCTTTCTCCAGAATGGATACGTTCATGTCTGCGAAAATTGGACGAATCCTTGAACGACGCACCACATGTCTTACACTTGTGCGGTATTTCTCCAGCATGAGTACGTTTATGAACACATAGACTCCATGATTGAGTGAAGGACTTCCCGCATACATCACACTTGAATGGTCGATCTCCAGTATGAGTACGTTTATGAACACATAAACTCGATGAGTGAGTGAAAGACTTGCCGCATACATCACACTTGAATGGTCGATCCCCAGTATGAGTACGTTTATGAACAAATAGATTGCCTGATTGAGTGAAAGGCTTCCCGCATACATCACACCTAAATGGTCGATCTCCAGTATGAACACGTTCATGCTGGGATAGTTGAGAATCGTTCTTGAACTCGATATGGCAAAACCGACACTTCCGTATTGCCTTACACTTAGAACGCTTGTCTGGATCCTGATTACGAGTCATAACCTTAGAAGAGTCAGCATTTTGTTCGACAGGACGCCTTCGTGCAACTGGCATGCCAAACGCATCAGTTTGCTCCCATGTTCCACGCGTCCTTCCAGCAGTAACTCCAGTATATGACGCTGAGGCTGGAGTTAAGACGTCCATTTGAAATTGAAGAAGTGGCTTCACAGGCGATGCACGTTTCTCATACCCGCTGACCGTTGAATGCCAGTTCACTACGTCTTCCATTTCAGACTGTGTACTATACTTAGCTTCAGCTCTTTCGATCTTTTCGCCGGTTCGAAATGTCTTTGTGAAAGCTTGTTGACGATTAGAAATACTGGCCGACGGAATTGTGTTCCTCGTCCATTTTATTAATGGCGGAGGAGAAGCAGGATTTATGCTTCCGGTATACTCAGGGTTTATAATAATCGTGTCCTCTCTCTTTTCCAGTGAAGCAAATCTCATACAATACGCTTTCTCTGTGTTTGCTTCGCCAATCTTCGACCCCGAAGATGGTGGAACGGACGATGGACCATGCTCTCTAGAAGTTTGGTCGAGCTTGTTCCTTTTCAACTTCATCAATGGCGGCACTGGTGGTAGTTCATTAGACTCCAGACTACAGTCAGACTTCGACTCCTCAAAGTCTTCCATTTCTCACAGAACTGCAACAACTCTGGAAAGAAAATTGTATTACAGAGCCAATAATACTCGTAACCAATTCGCGGTCTTAAAAAACCTGCAAATCAAAGGTTTCGCTCTGTGAACTCAATTATCGTGTTCTAGTGTGTCAAAAGCCATATTTGTTGATAACAATGGGTTTGACATAATTCTGGCGGCCCGCAATGCGTGACAATTTTACGTACGTTCTCAACTTCAAGTACATGGCACCTTGCTGTACACATCTCAAGCTGTCACGGACTATTGCATCCTTTGTCGACCAAAACGATGTTAGTTGCCTAAGAAAAGGTTGTCGTGTTAAGTGATAAATGAACACTTCTACGGTTCTTTGTCAGTGTCAACACTACACGTTCTTCTTCAGCACTGAACTGCCACTCTGACAAGGAAGACCACACAGGCAAAATGTTCCTAATTCCATGATATCGACTAAAAAGGAGTACAAAGTATAAAAGAAATCTGACAATTAATAGTTCTTGCTAAATGAGGACGTAGCTCTCTATTTTGTCCGCCCTTGTAAAATTGGCTCTTTTTAAGACGATCATTCGGGGCCTCAGGGTGTGATGGCCCTCATCCTCTGGGATGCTTGCGTGGCTCAGCGGAGCTGCCCAGTCATGCACTTTTCTAAAGTGAGACAATGTTGGCTTGATGGAGTTTTATTCGTAGCTTGGTCGTATACGCTGTGGCATGTCTCGTTTGCAGACCCATAAATCATGTGATGTTTTGACCAATGTTTAGGGGTGTGTCTATATCAAGGTTACCTTCGAAAACCTTTTCAAGGGCTTCGAACAGTCGATCTACCCCCCCCCCCCCCCCAGGAAACGTACCTGCCAAATTTGATGGAAATCGGAGAGATCCACTTGCACACATTTTTCGGTCTACTAAGACAAGGTCAATTGAAAGTCAGCAAACGCTTTGCACAAATCTACGATCTGAATTAATTAAACTTTCTCAGATAGAACGTATGCTAGAATAAGATTATTGACTTCTGACATAAAAAATGAGAACGGGACCATGGAATAGACCAGAAATACAAAACTACATAATCCACATCAGATCGAGATTCTGTACAATCATAGTTTATCTCGTGTGTGGCAAGGACCAGACTTGTGTGAATAGCATCAAAGAGTGATTTCTTTTTTTTAAATGCTGCGAATGTTAACTATCTTTCAAACAGACACACATACTATCGTTCTCTCTTGATCGTAAAATTTACTATATGTATAAGCACGAAGAATAAAAATACATTTTCACCCGTACAAAACACTATCTAACGACTTTTAGGCTATTCATTGTAGGTTATAAATACACTGGTGTCTAGGATAACATGATGATGTTCTGAAGAACTTTGCGCACTCTCTGCACCTATATAGACGTTCTCCTGTCTGTATACGTTCATGGTCATGTAGTAAGGGTCACTGTGTGAATGACGTTACACATGTCTAGCACGTGAAAGATCTTTCTCCAGAATGGAGAAGTTCATGTTTCCGTAAATTTGACGAATCCGCGAACGACGCACCACATGTCTTACACTTGTACGGTCTCTCTCAAGTATGAGTACGTTTATGAACGCAGAGATGGCCTGACTGAGTGAAAGACTTCCCGCATACATCACACATGAATGGTCGATCTCCAGTATGAACACGCTCATGCTGGCGGAAGCGAGAAACGTACTTGAACACTTTTGGGCAAAACTGACATCTCTGTGATGTCTTCCACTTAGAATGCTTGCATGGATCCTGGTTCTGAGCCATAACCTTAGAATATTCAGAATGCTGTCCGATACGACGCCTTCCTTCAACTGGCTCGCCAAACGCATCAGGTTGCTCCAACATGTCAGATGTCCTTCCAGTAGAAACTCCAGTATTTGACGCTGTGGGTGGAGTTAAACGCCTATTTTAATTTGAAGAGGTGGTCTTACAGGCGATGCACGCTTCTCAGACCCACTGAACGTTGAAGTCCAGTTCAACACGTATTCCATTTCAGCCAATGGACTAGACGTTACTTCATGCCTTTCGCTTTTGTCGGCGGCTAGAATGGTCTGCTCGAAAGCTGGCTGACGATCAGAAATACTGGCTGAAGAAATTGTGTTCCTCGTCCATTTTATCAATGGCGGAGGAGAAACAGGAATTATGCTACTGGTATACTCAGGGGGTATATTGCCGCGGTCTTCTCTGTTTTCAAGTAAAGCGGATCTCATACGCGACGATTTCGCATTGTTTGCTCCGCCAATGTTTGACCATGAAGATGGTGGAACGGACGATGGACCAGGCTCTCTAGACGTTTGGTCGAGCTTATTCCTCTTCGACTTCATCAATGGCGGCATTGATGGTAGTCCATAGGAATCCAGACTACAGTCAGACTTCAAGTTCTCAAAGCCTTCCATTTCTAACTCAACTGCAGCAACTCTGGAAGGGAAATTGCATAACACAACCAATATTACTCGTAACCACTTCGAGCAGTGAACAAAACTACGAATTCAAAATGTTTCACTCTGTGGACTCTAATATCGTGTTCTAGTGTGTCAAAAGCCATACTAGTTGATAATAATTATGGCAGCCCGCAATGCGTGACAATTTTACGTATGTTCTCAACTTCAAGTACATGGCACCTTCCTGTCACGATCTCAAGCTGTCGTTGAATTTTGCATCAATTGTCGCACAAAAAATGTTAGTTCCCAAATGAGAGTCTTGTCGGTTATGTGACAAATGATCACTCCTGCATATGTTTGTCAGTCTCAACAGTATAATTTGTCCTGCAGCGTTCAACTGCTATTCTGACGCAAGTAAATGATCTATCACTCGAAATTCACTGTTTCAGTATAAAGAGTAAAAACTGATACTCCAAGGCCAACGTAATCAGGTTTGGAAGCCGTTGTAAGTATGTCCTATTGTAGTACGCATGTTATCATCAACATCATTACCTGCTCTCGAGCTAGTTAGGCTGACACCTTCACTTCGGAATGTTCTGCATCATTCATTGGCGACTGACTTTGTAGGCTGTCCATGGTGAAAAGGATTTCAAACTTCTCAAAGTCGCCATTCTTGTGAAAGCTGTGAAACAGGGCGTCACACCTCATCCTTACACGCTTAGTCGTACTCACTCATCTGATTTATACTATCAGTACCTCACCTTGTGTTCTCACCTACATCCTTCAGCATGCCTATGTTGCTAATAGACAACCTCTTACCTTCCACAACGTCTTACCAGTTACAGGCTGGTAGTGGATGTCGATGAAGATATTATCATGGTTAGGACGTAGCTCTCTATTTTGTCCGCCCTTGTAATCTGGCTATTTTCAAGGCCAACATTTCGTGGCCCATCAGTTCGGCGGTAACGGCCCTCATCTTCTGGTATGCTTGCGTGGCTAAGTGGAGCTGCCCCAGTCGCGTTTCTAAAGCGAGACAATCAGTTGGTTTGACGGAGCTTGATTCGTTAGTTGGCCGTAAACGCTGTGGCTTGTCTCATTTGCAGACCCATAATAATGTGTTGTTTTGACCATTTTTGAGGGGTATGCCAATTTCAAGGTTCCCTTCAGACACCCTGCTAAAGCGGCTTCTAACAGTCGATATTCACCGAAAGAGACGTGCCTGCAAACTTTGAACGAAATGGGAGAGATCCACTGGCACATATGGTCTACAAGTTGTGTTCTTCTGAGACTTGCTCGGTCAACAAAGCCTTCGCTCATATCTTCGATCTAAATAATTATAAATTCGACGACTAGACAATCATTTTAATATGGCAATAAGTAGGACCAGTAGGACCAGTAGTAGTACCAGTAGGCCAGAACCGAGCAGACCCCACTATCTCAAGTCTGCAGGCAACGGAGACTGCTGTGGTTCGGCCATGTAGTGAGGGAAGGCGAAGAATCGTCCTCGTTCCAAGCCCTCCTAATGTCAATCAACACAACAGACATACGACGACCCCGAGGACGACCACGTCTGAGATGGATCGACGTTGTCAAGAAAGACTTACAATGCATTAATCTGTCGCTTCTGGATGCTGTGCAATCTGCTTCTGATAGAGCTGCTTGGCTCGAAATTGTTAACAGATGCGTTGACCTCATGCAATGAGTGAAATGCGAACTGTCATTATTATTATTATTATTTATAAGTAGGACGAGCTGAAGCGACATGTGGACTACTTTATTAATAATGTAAGCGATGGAGACGATGCAAGAAACAACCTAAAGGGTAAGGAAAAATACATGTAAGAAGAAAAAGGATAATGGAAAAAAAGAAAGATGATTTGAACAAGTTTTCGTACAACACTCTTCAGGAATCACCGTTGTACTAAAGAACCAAATGAGAACAAAGGAAATAATATAGCAATCAATGTAGGGTGACACGATACAATGACAGCACTGGAATATCGAGGTGCGATTTCTCACAAAAGTGTGCAGAAAACAAGGGTATATGTAGGACTCAGTGAGCAGTCACGTCTCGATGACCGATCACGATCCCCGTGACCAATCAAACAGTCACAAATCCCCGAAGAGCAGTCATAAAGTCACACACCAGTTTGAATCCCGATGACCAGTCAGAAACAGCCGCGACTTTCTCTGTGAACGGTCACAGGATCCACGTCAAAATATTACGACTCAACTGTAGGCATTCACGCGTTCAGCATACTTTTTTCCTTCACAGGTTTCAGAAGTGAGCAAGAAAGATTTCGATCAACTCTCGATCTCCGCGTAGTTTACTTGTAGCTCGAGTCTGGTGTGTGTGGGCTCCTCTCCAAAACGAAGGGTGGTCGAAAATCTTGCAGGCTTCAGATAGAATCTCTTTTGAGAGGACGTTCTGGCTAGTAGGTTGTGCTATTCATCATATTTGAAGAACAAACTTCGTCGTTAAGAAAAGCTATTTCGGAATATTTTCAGTCATGTAATTTTTGCATGCCGATCTTGCTAGAGCAGAGACTGACTTCAACTGATCCAGTGTGCAAGCAGCACTCGATTTGTGTTTTTGGAGATGATGGAGTCAGAAGTGGACATCGTCGACGATGCAGAGACGAAAATATAATGAAGATGGAAATGAAAATATG